TAGTATAGAGGGGAAAAAAAGCATATTTTCCAAAGTTTTTTTAAGACAGACCTTAAGAGACAATTTGGAGTATTGCTGCTAGAAGTGCTGCAGATTTTTTTTTCCAATCCATATATTCACCCATTTAGTTAGGAATCTGAAATATGAGGTGTTGATCATACCTCACAAAAACGGTCTTTCCTTAAAAAAAAGAAGAAGAAAAAATGACCCTAATAATCTCCAAATAGCTAAGTAAATGGAGTGTGGGGGAATCATTTAAATTATTCACTGTGTTATGGGACTAGAATGACATTGCTTCTGGAGTAGTACCCTACATGTTCTTATGACAAAATAAAAAAGACACGGGATTTGTACCGCAGAGAAAACAAAACAAAAAACACCTTTCCGAGGAATCGAGGGAAGATGTCAATTCTCTATTAGAAACGAACAATTAAAACTAGATAATAGCTACGAACAGGTCTGACCTGCTCAAAGCCTAAAGGCTTTGCTTGACTCAGGACTCTACTTCCTCTGACTGCAGGTCAGCCCTACGCAAACAAAGCCTTAACAGAAATGTTACTGAGGAAATAATAGCCATTTCCAATGATAATACACAATTTTAGCACCTACGCTTGGCTGATTTAGGTGGTCGGCTAACATGTCAAACAGCCTGCCTTAGTTAGGTGAGCCTTTAATGGGTAACTGGCAGACTCTGGCAGCCTTATTTCTGTTTTAGATTTGGTTTGTCATTGGATATCCATTACCTGCCATTCATCTTTGATCTCTTTGGACAGGCCTGATCAAAAGATGTCATTTGACCTACTCCACTTGGCAGAAACTTGTATGACTCTCATAAAGGGGGCACCCCAGCTATAAATAAAATGACATTATTATTTTTCTGTCCTATCATGTAGAAGAGACAATTATGATAATGCAGTGTCTGTCACTAGGAGCCCAGCAAATTGCTAGCTCTCACGCAACTGTTTAGCTTTCTTATTTGTTTTTTGTCTGTTTTCCTCCATTTCAAGTTGAAAATAAAACAGAATTGAAATCACTAATGCTCTGCCTCACACTCTGACAGTCTCAGGGTTTCTCTTTATGGGACTGACATGCAGATGTGACCATCAGATTATGTTTGTCAATGGTGGGTGGTGTTTAAGAGCCGTGTTGGCAACACACTGCAACAATGGAGTCAGGTTTATATTTCATTTACTGCTTTGCACAGAAGCTCATATCTGAACTTAGTGCTGGTAGATATTACTACAAACAGATAAAATCACGGTGAGAGTTTATTGTATCCTTAATAAAGTCACAATACAGGAAATGTATGAGCCCTCATGCTACTGGCAGGGGGCTTATGAGTGAGGGTGGGGGTGCTGGAAAGGATGAGCATTGAGCCAGCTACTTGGTATGTTGAACAGCTCTTGTTGCTATCCTGACTTGTATATACACATACTTCCTAAAATTTCAGGCTTCTAGACAAGTGGGCTAGCTACATCAATTGTGAACTCAGCACATAAGGCTATTTGATTTTGTACCAACAGTTAGCTGAAAGTGGGGCAGAGGGGGAGTGTTACCTACATGTAATAGTTCATTTAATATCATTCAGCAGCTTTTTGTCATTTACTAGATGAAGGGGTACGGCAACATTCAAAATGTGGACCAAAAAGGAAAAATCCAAGGGCACTCTGGATATGTTTGGTATTGATGATACCATGGATGATGCAGATAGTCATCTGCCTTGTAATGCTTTGCCGTTCTGTGAGGCAATGTATTGGCGTTCTGTGGCATCTGCTGCTATTTCCATAACACAATCTCAAGATAATACAGTAACACTCACAAAATGAGGTTCCCCATTTTCTAATGCAAATTCTGTGACCGTTGGTCCACAAAGCACTGTATTTGATATGTTTCTGGAAAACCAAGGGTGGGAGGTGGGGATTCTACAAAAAAAGGGAGAGACTATAGACCATGTTACATATTATCAACTTTCTTGGCCATAAGGTAGATGTCTATGGGAGCTCAAAAGCTCTAGTTTCAAAAGATGCTGGGTCGCATCATTTCACAGAGACAACTGAGAAGAGGTCCAGCTGACATGATTCTTTCTTATGAAAACTACAGGTGTGGCTGCTGGAGAAATGACCAGAGAGGAAGTTAGCTGTGTTAGTTTAAAGGCAGTCAGCAGCTAGGGTAAGTATGCACCTTTATAGACTAACTCAATAAAAATCATCATCCAAATAAACAAGAAGAGAATCATTCTGGGCTTGTGCACACAGGGAGTTTTTCTGGAATAGTTATCCCTGATCAACTATCCCTAATGAGCTCTTATTGCAGACCAACAGTGCCTTATTCCAAGTGAGCTTAATCAGCGTCAAAAGTAGGTGTTCTACTGTAAATTCGGACCCTGTCTCAATCCAAATGAACTTATCATTAAAGAAAAGTACTTTACAGGTTCAAAGACCATTGGAGTGCCAAGTCCTTTTGTGGAACAGCACTGTGCTATACTACATCTGGAGCTCTGACTATCCATCAAAGTATTTCACTGGGCATGTTGTGGTGGCCTAGCAGATTCTTATGTTGTAGAAAAGAAGAGAGACCTGGGTAAGGACATCCAGAAGTCTCATTCCCAGCAGGTGGATTCTTTGGTGCATACATGGAGAGTCACTGACATCAGTGGAGTTCCACATGACTGTGACCATGCAAAGCCGCTTGAGGGACCAGGATGCGAGTATGACATGAACACTGTGAAAATGGAAATAAATAAAGAATAAAGGCAAGAAGTCACCCATGCAAGTATTATAAAATGTAAAGTAAGATACTGAGGATGGCATCTAAAGAATATTCTATAAAATAAGACAAAAGACACCTTGTTCAGCTCCTTATGAATCAAAGAAGGTTTGTGAAGAATGCTGATGGTAGGATTTAACAAAGCACAAGCCCATTTGGCAATATGGCCTTTCCCTATTGCAATAATGAATGTTCTTACATTTGAATCCACTTAAAAATGCAGAAAACATGCACACAAAAAAGTACCGTGCTTCTTGCAGGCTAGACTCTGCTATAAAGTCAGTACGTTAATGACATACTAGAAAGCACAATAATGCAGAGGTGGGCTAGAGAACAGATAAACAAATGCTTGGTTACCACAGTCCAGTTTCTACATAAGGTTGCAGTAGATGGAGATCAGCGATCCCCCCTTACACCAGAAACTTTGAGGATCCTTTCTTCATACTAGTCCAATATTATGATAACTCTGCAAGAGTTAACTTTACTACACACTACATGCAGCAAACACGAGTTCTTAGTTTATTGCAAAAACAATCATTATGGTCCCCTCTACATGTTCAGATAAAAGGCATGATAGGATCTGATGTGTGTTCAACACAATCATGCTCTTGCCATGCCATACATACATGGCAGGAGGCATGATTGTGGGATACAGCATTAGATCCTATCACGCCTTACTGCTGGTACAGGAGGAGCCTAGGATTGTGATAACAAGCTCCTGCAGCTGCAAGTCCTGTACAGAGTCTTGCTGCTGTGGGCTCAGTCACAGCAGCGCCCTGTGGCTGCCAGGACCCAAACTTCACAGCTGCAGGGCACTGCCAGGAGGGAGAGTCCTATCAGCTGTGGGACTCTCCCTCCCAGCAGCTGTGAGGCGCTGCTGGGGCTGAGGTCCTCATAGCTGCAGGACACTCAGCCCCAGCTGCACCTGATGCACCCACCCCTGAGGCTGGGAGACCAGTCTGCTGACAGGCCCCCAACCCCCCTGGGAGGGCAAACCCTGCACACACGGAAATTAAAGCTGGATACCAACCAGCTATAAAGTTATTACACATTTTCCAGCAATAACTTCATAGATGGTTGGGCCTTTTTATGGCACAATAGTTCATTTGCATGTTTAGCCAGCCTAATTAACTAAGCAATTAACTCAGTAATTGTGCAATGCATGTAAGGTGTAGAGGGGGCTTATGTGATTTTTAGGGTGGGGGTGGAAAAGGTACAAGGCATCTTATCTCCTGTGGATCCTTATGTAAGGAAGGCCCTATAACAGACAGTGACAATTGTACCTGACGGCCTTATCAATAGCATGTGATCAGGACATTCAGATCCAAACAAACCAATGTCCGTTGTGTGACACAATTCCAGCCCACGCAGACATGCAGAAAAACATTCACACAACTTTATGATCCTTTGAGAATGGAGATAAGAAAATGATGTCCTAGTGATTCTGAGAGTGTGTTGAGAGAGGTCCCATGGAGAAATTGAGCCCCACAGTTAATTTAAAAAAATATAAAGCAGCATAACAGAAGTCTTCAACGAAATACATAATAGCCTAATCTCCATACACACTGGCTATTACAGGCTTGTTAAGAAGCATCCTGACAACCTCCTTCTTTCAGAAACTCTGAGGAAGTTGGAAGAAAGTCAGTTGTAACCAGTAGCCCTGTCCTGGGCGACAGAAAGGAGATAATTTCCTGGCTTTAACTCTGTTTCATAAGTACCTGTCCCCTGTCCCCCCGCCCCCATCTGATCAGAAGTTACCGTTTTAAAAAGGAAAGTCAAAAGAAGAATTTCCTTAGGTCTTTACTACATACACATTAGCACTAGTTTAACTAAAGGGGGGGGGGGGGGCAGGCACGTTTATGTGTGCTATTAAGGCAAAGCAATAAACTCCAGTACTTATTGGACTAAAGTTTATTGCTCCTTGGTGCAGCGCTTGCACGTGTGCCCAGGACTGCAGCATGCTGAGCCAGGTCAGAGCAGACCTAGCTGGCAAGGGGCTTAGGGGTGAGCCTGCCAGCCTGGGGCTGCTCTGACCCATCTCAACGTGCTGCAGAGGGGCTGGCTGGGGCACAAGGGTGCTCCAGTGTGGGGCTAAAGGACAGGCAGCCCTCACACTAAAGCACCCTCATGGCCCAGCCAACCCCATCAGCATTTACAGGTGTGATGTTGTGGAGTAAAAAATTATATTTACAAGTACTACCCTGCTGCAGAGTTGGTTAGTTTCCTGTGGGCTAATAGGGCCGCACATGTAGATGCAAGACATTTATTGCATAGCTAATTAGTCTACTCTGCGGTAAACATCTCATGTACACGTGCCCAACATGGTTTTAAGGCAATTTAACTCAAAGTTCTTTGAAGTTGTAGATACTCTTACCTTCATTACAGGAGGGGCTTTGTTTGGTTTTGCTTAACATAATTTGAGCATACCAATATCAGAGTTTCTATATATTAATTTGCTGCACTGAGTCTTAAATCAGGGCAAACTTGTGTACATACAAGACACCGTGAACAAGCAAATCTTCCCAAACTCCCCCTCTCCTCCCCAACTACCCAGGAATCTCTGCTCTACTTTGTTCCACTGCAGTTCTTACTACCTTTCAAAACATTCATGTTATCCGCTGACTTCCCTGTCCCTTCCATACCAAATGGTCTTTTTTCATAGTGAGATTGCTCTACCAGAGCCTGCCTCTGACCCAAAACGTTTTGTTTTCTCCCACTTCTGTTGCTCTTAGATTTGCTATCAGTCATTGATGTATGTTCCTCCCCACCTCCCTCTAACCCATTCTGCTCTAACACTAGAAGGTCACTTGTATGGACCTTGCCAGAGCTTGTGCAAAGGCTCTTCTGGAACCTGATGGTGTTTCTGGGGAAAGTTGAAGTACTCTCTCTCTGCTGCATAAGAACCACACATTAATTTTAAAAGAATTTCCAATGGTCCTTCCAACTGGGCACTTCGCTGCATTCTACTTATCTGCCATAAAATTTGGCAGATCCTTAAAGATGAGGCCATAAAACTATTCTTCAAAGGATGGCTGCTATCACCTGCAACATCAATGAATATATGTTAATGAAACTGTAAGCTGTTTAATAAGCCATTATCAATTAAATAAATATATTTAATCTCAAAATTACAACATACTTACCAAAGCAGCTGTCCATATCTAGGCAACCATAATTTCACTATCTAGCTCAGCATTGAAATATGAAAGCATTTTGTGGATTCAGGATATTTGGCACACACATTTGTAATAATGCTCCTGGCACCATGCAGTACCTGCACATTCATGCTGTGGAAAGGCTTCCTACTCCTATACATCTCATTATCTACTGGTGCCACAATGGGAATGTGAATGCAGTCAATCACTCCCAGGACACTCAGGAAACTAGCAATGACATATAAACCTTCATTGACTTTCTGTTGCTGTTGTGGAGTGTTTGGTAACTTGATGAATGTCTGAATGTGTTGCAGCATGGCATCCAGGAAATGAGTAAGGCACCTGGACACAGAAGGCTGACTCATCTGTTTATCACCCCCTGCTATCCTCTGGAAAGACCTCCTGCCTAGCACCGAAAGACACAGAATACAGCACTTTCTTTAGGACAGGAAGGGAATGACTTTGCCTTATTTTATTCTCCAGCTGCCCTGAAAGTAAATCACATCAGCATGTTGACTCTAGTAACCAGATGGAAGCAGAGGACACATTGTGCACCCACATGTATTTGTGATCTGTGGACTCTCTCCCACTCTTGCCATGCTTCGACTAGTCATCTTCTGCTCTCACCAAAGATGCTAAGGCGTATAACACAGAGATGAGAACTCTCCCCGCTAGCATGTGCTCCAGGCAGCTATCAATGTCAATCTAACTCTCTGACTACACTGCTGTTACTCTAACAAAAAGAAAAGGTGTATAATAATACAGTATGTTATTAATGCATATATAAGGGTATGTGTATCCTACTGTGAAAAGTGCATGTGTAAAATGTTAATCCTCCTTTATGTGCATTGTCTGAATACATATGTCTGGTGATATGCGTGTATGTGTCTGTCTGCCTCTGTGGGTCTGTCTTCACTTTGCTCTGTCTAACCCTTACCATCTCAATTTTCTGTCTGCTTTTTGAATCATGTCTAATTAGAGGATCGCACATTCCCTTGTGATACCATATTCTTGGGCAGAGCTTGTAATTTGAGTGATTGTGAATTGTTCAAAGTGCCAGATTTCTATTTTAAAAAAAGATTGAGATTATTATTTGTAACTGAGTCTGTAATTTTGCCTCAAGATATGTTAGATTACATTAATTAACTTTAGATCTGGCAGAGCAGAGATTAACCATTTTTGTATGTCTTTTTGCTTACTCATGATCATGATGAAATCTTCTGCCCTTGACTTTCACAGATTGTCAGTTCATGGTAGGTGAGGAGAGGAATGCAAAGCTTTTTATGGTGCCCACTGATAAGTATCCATGTTTCTCTTGTTAGCACGGATAAGTTACATACTCCTCCCTAGTTGGTTTAGTTACACTGATCTATTGGCAATGGTTTGATGGACATAATTCAGGCTCAAACTGGTAACATAACATAAAGGTACCCATGGACAGCAACTGTATGTGTGTATGAGGGGGTATGCATGTGTGTACATGCATGTAAGTGTCTAGCTGTATGTAGGCATGTACGAGCACACATGCACATACAGACACATAGGAGAGTATTCTCCTGGTTGGTTTTGGGGGGGGTGG